AAGCTGGTTTTCAATAGGTTAGACCATACCCAATATAGTAGACCGAACAAGAAATCTACTTTCTCCTCCAATATCCGAGGTCATACCAGCCATTTCCTAGACCCCATCCATCATAGTATCCGTATCCACTATGATAAGGATAATCATAGTAGTCAAGTGGATGGTCGTAGGCATAACTTCCATAGCCCAAATAGTATGCATCTTAAGAAAGAATAGCTCTATTACATTTACTATAAAAAAAGAGCATTACAAAAAGTTTAGCTACTTTTTACGCTTGTTTAGCATTCCGAAAACAGTTGCCATCAAAATCAAAAACCTTAGAAGTAACCGTTAACAAATTTCAGAAAAGGAATCATTACTTGACTGGACAGCCAGGAAAAGAGCAAGGAATACGATCAGAAGAGACATGTTTGACCGAATTTGTTGGTTGTTTCAGGCATCGTTTACCTTACTTTTATACTCAAAGTTTTGCCGTGCTATCTAATAAAAAAGTGTTTTTTCAACACATTACTGGTGCAGATAAGATAGAAAATAAATATATTCACCAATGTTTAGCTATTGTTGTAGGATTTTTCATTCTTCTTTTGAACCGTTATTATGCACGAAAGTGTTGTAGCTAAAAAAGTTCAAAGGTTACGAAAAGAAGAAAAAAATAGAAATTATTTGACTTGAAGCATTTGAACCAGCAAGAAAAAAATTTGGATTCTGAATAGACATTTAAAACTGGTTATTGCTTCTATACGTACAACTAATAAAAAAAAAAGCACTAGTTTGAATAGACAGATTACCCTAAGGTATTTCTAAGCTTTCAGATAAACAAATTGCCAGTTTTTTTTCTCCCTTATTATTTCTAAGACTAAAGGTCTAAATATTTTTAAGGTTAATTTTAGAACTTTGGTCAAGTAGTCTATAAGACCAATGTTCCTAATCAACAACAGCGTTTTGTTTTCTACCGATACTGAACAGCTTATTCGGTTTAAAAGTTTTAGCTTTGTTTTATCGCTATTAACAGATTAGATAAAAAATTTTTTTTGTTTTCAAGAAGTAGTAATCATTTTATCCATGTACTCGATTGTTTTCTTTTTTTTTTCTTGTAAGCTATAAATTTGTTATCAAAATTTTGTAATGCAGTTTTTTCTGGTTAAAATAACCATTACTAAGAGAAAATTTCTGCAGCAATTGTCAGAACCATGCAACTGGTAAGCAATTGAAGTGTTTTTTTTTTACCTGTCAATTGAAAGCGGTTATTGTTGTGGCTGTGGAATTTTGGAAAAAATTGTTCTTTTCCAAAATTGGTAAAATACCGCAGAAAAGTATAGAGAAAAAGAATGACCTTAGCAAAGTAGAAACAATTATTTGTATAAACCAAAAAAAACTGTTATAATTTGCTAAAAGCTGATCAGTGTACGATACAATTACTGCAATACAATTTTTTGCTCTCCACAATGCGCTACTGTTGCATTGTCGATTATCTTTGCAAGCGTAACCAATTTTACTAGTTTTATTACGATTTCAGATCTGGAAATTAGTAGGCAGCAAAGAAGTAGTGATATTTAATATCAACTTTATCATCAACCCATTATTTTTCATTATTTAATTATGCTGTGCAAAACTTCATTAATCTTATTCCTTTTGAAAAAACTTAATTTTTGGTTATTGTAAAATGACAAAAAATCAGGATTAAATTTTACGATTACAGTTAATGAAGAACTAGCTTTTACCAGTGAACATAAAAAATAGCAATGCTGCAAACAGAAACAACTAAACTTTGTGTATCAAGCCAATTTTTTGATAACGGTTTAACATAGCACTGTTTTCCGCTATCAGTATGGCTCAACAGCTTCGATAATTAAAGTTGAAAATTTTTATGCAAACTAAATGAACATTTGATAGCTTGAAGATACCAAGCAAAAAAAATTGCTTTCTTTTTTGAATAAATCATTAAAAAAACCACTAACTGGATAAAAATTTTAGAATTTAGGTTTTAAACTTTTTAGCAGATGTCATTAAAATCTAATTCTGGAAAATGCTTAGCAAGAAACTATGAGAAAATAAGCTTTATGATACGAAATAGGTAGCTTCTATATTCAGCTTTGTTATGCACTCTGAAATACTACTGCTCAAGTGCTCTGCTTAAGTGCTCCAATAGAAAAAAATTCAATTTAACTTGATTTACTAAACCCAATCAACAGCACTAATTCTTAAACAGCCAGCTCCTGTCCCCTATAAACTATAGAAACCAATAGAACACTTTCTGAATGGAAATGACTCGTACCCGGTCAAACAATAGACAGTTTCCACAACAATAAAATTAACTATGTTTAAACGGATCAACGCTTCAACGATGCTTTCAATTGTAACCATTTCTAATCAGATTCCAGCAATCTTTCTCTTTAAAACCTAAGATAATAAATCTTAGAGCTGAAGCAACTAACAGTGCATAACGCACCATGTATGCAACTCAAAATTCGTGTAATCGCTGTTCATTAGGAGATGTTTGATTCGAGCAAAAAGTGCATCCTATTAAAATATCTACTTTATTCCAACTTCAGATTGGTCGAAACGCGAAAGCATATCAAAGCGTAAATCTAAATTAGGTTTTCCTTTTTTGAAACTATAGTTGAAACTATACCAAATTATATTTCTGTATGCTTCTCAGCGATGTTGCTTAGAATGAGATCATAGCGACATTCTTTTTCTCAAGATATTTTTAAAAATATTGCTCAAAAAATATAAAACTATATAAAAATATAGTCATTGAAATGCCTTATGCATCCTTTTGTCAGCCATTTAAAGTTTATTCGACCTAAAGACATATATAGAAAAAATTGTTGAATCAGTCAATTGCAGATGTATGCAGTTAACTTGAAGTTTAAAAAATTACTTGCTTTAATAAACTAAAAGTAAAAGATCTAAGATCCTTAAGTAGATTTTTGTGTAATCAAAATTAATTTTTTTTTTTATCAACTGCCACTAATGCTTAAACCTAGCTTCTCCTCAGATCAACTAAAAATTAAAAAGATTGTGCTCCCGGTTAGATTCTTCTTATAGCTAGGCGTATTTCTAAACCTACTTTTTCAAAATTTTTGTAAAAAAGAATAAACTCTGTGCTGTACTGTTTCCAAATAAAGATGCCTTGCAGAACCTAACCATACTAAATATTAACTTTAGTTTATCTCTCTGAAGTCTCTCTTAAAAATTTTGAAAAAACTGAGAACTGAGGCATATATTCGTTTGCAAACCAGTCACTTGCTTCTCAGCTACTAGTGCGTATTTCTGAAAACTCTAGAAAGGATGATTATTTAACCTTTCATCTATAAACTTGTAAAAAAAAACAAGAACTGTTAAAAGCCATTTGACACTACTGATAAATTAGGGCACCGCTAAGGAAAGCCTCTTAAAGATCGTCGTGTTTTCCAAGTTACGCCACTAAACTGTACTCTCAACAATGATTACTGCCGTTCACGATCTGAACGTAATGAATTCTCGTCAGTGGTTTTTATAAAAAGGAATTAAAGAGGTGGCTGTTGAAACATCTGCATAATGAAAGCTTTCCCACCTTTCCCAATCAACAGACAACGAGAAAATCGCTTTTCTGCTAACTACAATTGGGAAATATTGTACTATATAAGCGACAAGAAACACTGCTTAAACAATTGGAAACGGCATCGGTGCATTTCAGTTCTAATCTTATTTCTCGCTCCTTTTCGTGTTGTTCAACCAACTAAAAGTGCAACTTCTCTTAATTTTTTTTTGGCTTCTGTTAGAAATCACAAGAACTTTTAACAGCTTTCAGTCCAAAAATACCGATACTGACTCCCTCTAGGCTCTTTTTCCGAACAATACATTAGAACATTCTGCTAAATGCTTACCACCTGAATTGCCACTGCTACTCTGCGTAAATAAGCAATAAACATGAACATCCGGTTGCTGTAATTATTGATCATCCATGCTGCAGTAGCCTCTGCAGCGAATGAAAATCAAAAAATAGTTGGCATCCCTTGTAGATTGCAGAATCAGAAACACAACAGAAGGAAAACGGCTTTAGCTCGCGCTCTGACTGGGATAAATGAAAATTAAATCACTCTTCACTTCTTAAAGTTCCCATCTCGCAGTAGATTTTGCATCCTCAAACGAACAATTCCCTGCCGCCAACGCAATTAACAAATGTTTTAAGATTTTTCCGGATACGTAGTTCTTAATTCTAATTCAAAAAAAAAAAAAAAAAAAAAAAAA